TTGTCACGATTGTGTTTAAAACACATGAAGTATTCAAATTGTGTGCAGGGTTATTTTTTCCCTGTTTATAATAGAACTCTGTTTTTTCTCCTGTTGTGGATACTTGAATCTTCTGTAAATGAATTGGTCAGATGTCCTAAAAGCTGTTTTTCATAGCCCCACATCACTAGCAAGGCCTCTTGCTTTTTGTTCCAGTAACTGGCAGGAATATTTAACCTACTGGCTACAGTTTGATGATAGTGTTGGCATCTACTGATCTAGTGTTTTTATTTTTGTTCCTTTGTGTATTTTTTTTCTTTAGGATTCCTGGACTCCAGAGTTAAAGTTGAAGTTAGAAAAGTTTCTAGCTTTAATATTTAAAGCTAGCAACACGCCGAAGCTTTTAACAATATATGTATCCTTTTGAAGCAAATGGAAACCTGTATGGTTTTCAAGCAGATTTTATGTAGAGTAGCACACTGGCTTAAGTTGCCTCATATGTCAGGATAGGATACTTAACAGCGTCGTTGCTTTTGTATTTACAAGGTGAATAAATCATTAATGGGAGGATATGCTCATTGATGATTTATAAGCTGTAAAGGTCAACTCTGTGGCATTAGATCTCTGAGACTTGGCTGGGTCTTATTTTGAGATCATGTTCCTAGAGGCTGTCTTGATGGGTCCTTTTACAAAAGAACTCCTTGTACTGACTGTCCCTTTACAAAGTGTTAATCAACTAATTTTAAGACCTTGAGGCCATGGCATATGCATTGCCTGACCATCTAACTTGTTCAAATGGACACTTGTTTTTCAACAACTTTATTGACATATAATTTATGTAAATAAAATCCATCCATTGTAAATGTACAATTCAATGATTTTTAGCAAATGTGCAGAGTTGTGCCACTGTCATGACAAGCTAATTCAAAGTGGGACACTTTTGGGGTATTAGCTGAACAGAGTACCAGAGTGGCAGGTGTAAATGGAGCCTGTCCTAGGAAGGGTGGAAAATTGGTCCCTCAACCCATGGGAGACAAATTTCTCAAAGGTTGCTAGTCTCTAAGGACAGTTGTCTCCTTTTATTTGGAATAAAAAAGTGTACAAAGTTATTCTATAACAAGGATATAACAGTTTGAATTGTGAATTTGGTGATTTTTTTTTTTTTTTTTTGAGATAGAGTCTCAAGCTGTCACCCTGGATAGAGTGCTGTAGTGTCATAGCTCACAGCAACCTCCAACTCTTGGGCTCAAGTGATCCTCTTGCCTCCGTTTTTCTGTTTTTAGTAGAGACTGAGTCTCGCTTTTGCTCAGGCTGGTCTCAAACTCCTGAGCTTGAGCAATGTACCCCAAATGCTAGGATTATAGGTGTGAGCCACCATGCGCCAGCCATGATTTTTTTAATGAAAGTTTTAGGCTACTTCGCTATATAATACCTTCTGCTTCGTCTGTAATTCCAAAAGTATTTGACTCCTTTTTCCTAATTGAAATCTTTTATCTCTGGGATTCCATGACACATTTCAATTTTAGTTTCTTTTTTTTTTTTTTTTTTTTGAGACAGAGCCTCAAGCCGTCCCCCTGGGTAGAGTGCCGTGGCATAGCTCACAGCAACCTCCAACTCCTGGGCTCAAGC